ATGTAAAAATGTGGATGTGTAACCGATGTGATTCTGCAATCTGTATTTGGGGTAAAAATGGGAATTCATAACCCACTTGAATCTAATGTATGAAATATGATATGTCAAGAGCTTTGTAATGTTTTGAACAATCAATAAAAAAATAAATATAAAGACTTATAAGAATGTCTTTGGAACAAGAGCTCTATTAAGGTCAAGTACTATTTTCTTATTTTTTACATTTTATTGTTATTGTGAGATGATCTCAGAGGTCCTGCTCTGCTCTGGTCACCTGTAAAGATCTATACTGCTTTAATAAATCATGCATATGTGGCTTCAGCCCTCTTCAAACTGAGGTGGGGCATCCTCCCCAGCCTCTCCTCCCTTGGGGTCCAGAGGACCCTTTCTGTAGCCCTGGGGCTAGCAGGCCTGCTGGCCAAGGCCTCTTCAGATTAGAGGATGGACTCCTGACTCAAGTTTCTCTGTGGCTGAAAGCTGGCTTTGCAAGCATGAAATTGCCCTTGGGGTCTTCAAGGTCTTCATTCCTATGAGGCCACATGGGATTCATTACACTGCAGGTGGGGGGAGAAAGATGTGAGCTAATGCTGACTGCGGGCTGGACTGGAGACAGGCAGGCACACTAGCCAGGCAGGCAGCTGGGGCGGCAGATGGGTGGATGGTTCTAGCAGGCAGACCTGAGGGCTGCCCTAACAATGGCCCGGGAGAGGGTGCTGTCAACCCCCACCACCCCTCACCACTCAGTCTTCCTGGGCGAGGCTGCTGTTAGAATGATCTTATGACCTAACCCAGATGTCTGAAGCCATTTCCAAAGGGCAGCACGTGATTTTCTATCTTTCAGGAGAGTCCAGCTCTTTTGGTGGCAGGGTATGTGTATGTGTATGTCTGCACGTCTCTGGTTAGACCCGCACTTTACCAACCCATTTCCCCAGGCACAAGGAAATACTATCCCATGGAGAGCTGGAGCAGGGCCATTTTCAAAGGCAATGGTAGCCTGCAAATGAATTCAGACTCTCTCCTTAAACTCCACTTTTCTTGCTTTTCAATCTGTGGGACCCAAGAAGTCACAGGATTGTAAGATGTTAATGATGGCCAGGATCTCAGAGACCCTCCCATCCACCCCATTCGATGGAGAGCAGGGAGGCCCCAGAGGAAGACTTCATGGGGCCTGAGCCTCTTGCTCCCTATCATAAAATACATTTCCTCTTCTGCAAAAGGGAGAGTTTTAACATATAGTAACCATCTCTCCCCAAAGTCACTGAGCCCTTGCTGTCAGGCTTTGAGGAAGAATGAATTACGCAAATCTCCTGCTCTGAGCTCTGTCCAGAACTTGCTTTTTATATGCCAAAGGAAAAGTCTAACAGATGTTATAAGGCTTTGCTCACGTGGAGAGGTGACAGAGAAATTTGACCACTGGTTAAACTCTGGGCACCAGGAAAGATCACTGGGAGAGGGTCACAATGCCTCATCTGTTGGCTTGAGGACTAGCCAGGAAATTCTCAGCAGGGACTGGGCACCGCCTTCCACCCCTTTCTCACTGCCAATCACAGTAATCACCACCAGTGGCTAGGACAGGACCTTCTGAACCAAAGATTCTCACACTCACGTGGATGCTGGACACCCAAGCCTAGCTACATATAAAGGCAGTGAAAAGTATCTCCCCATCTCTGTTCCTTGGAATCCTAAGATTTCTATCTTATTGCAATGAGAGAGATCCAAGTGTGATATGCAGTGATATCCAAGTGCAGAGATGAGAATCACCCCAAACTTTGCTCCTCTTAAAACCTGGGAAATAGAGACCAGGCTATAGTGGACTCTCTGACTCATAGGTCTATTGTTCATTCCCATCTACTCCTTGGGGTCCAAGAGAGGGTCTAAGTTGCTATAGGCCCTCTGTATTTGGCCACACCTGCAGCTTCCCTCTCCCCCATCCCCAAATGCTGCAGTACTATGGCTCCTGAGATTCCCTGGAGCACAGTGCTTGCCACAAGCAAGAGTACCTCGGGATAAATGGACTGCCCTCCTGGGAGCCAGACTCCTGCCTCTCATGGCCACCATTCTCCAGTCCCTTCTTCGGCCAACAGAGCAAGCTTTTAAAAATTGCAAATTGAATCCTGTCACCCTTCCTGAGTTCACAAACCTCAACAGCCCTTACCAGAGAGATCAAAATGCCTCAATGGTTTCCAAAGCCTACCTGTCCAAACTCACTTGGTGCTGCTCTCTCCCTGGTTTCCAAGCTTCTGCTCCCTGACTCTCTCGGTCCTTCACAGCCTCTAGTGCAGTTGGTAATGGAGAACCTAGCATCTGTCTGTCCCACTGAATGGTAAACTTCATGAAGGGAGGGCCCTGGAGTTTGCTTCCCCTTGAGTTCCCAGGGCCAAACCTGACCCAGGGCCCAACACCACGTAGGTGTTCATATTTGTTGAGTAAATGCAAGACTGGCCCAACACTCAGAAACACACAGAGGGGAAACACACACACAAATGCACGTCACAAAGAGGTTGAAACTTCCCCTCTCAGATCTCAGGCAGAGGGAGCTCCTATGGAATTAGCAAGGTACTAAGGAATGTGTGGGAATATCCAGTGACACTCCCCATCCCCATGATGGAAACATACACCCACTTCTCTTCTACTTCACCCAAACCCACCCTTTTTTGCAGTGCTGGAGATGGAACCAGATCTCATGCCTGCCAGGCAAATGCACTGCCGCCTCCCCACTCCTCCAATCCTCTCACCCACCGGCTTTTTATGGAGACGGTTCTCAGGTCTTATGATGTTGCCCTGGCTAGGCAAACTTGACTGAAGCAGTCTCCCTGCCTTAGTCTCCCAAGTAGCTGGGATGACAGGCACCAGCTGGACAGGAACAGTCTCCCGCTGCTCACCTGAATCCTTGACCATACCTTGCTTGTAGGAGCCAATAAACCAGCTTTCTGTCCTTAAGGTAAGAGCAGGTGGCTCTTCCAAAGCAGACCTCTTCCCCTCATCTCCTGGGCCTTGCCTACCCTCCTGATGCCCGAGAACATCTACTGCCAGTGAGCCTGTTTCCAATTTTCACTTTCCATCCATGCATCCTTCAACTCATTCATCTCGCCCCAGGGGTGGAGCAAGCCTGTAACCCCAGCTATGAAGGAGGCTGAGGCAGAAGAATCGCAAGTTCAAGGGCAGCCTGGGAAATTTAGCAAGACATTTTAAAATAATAATAATAATAATAATAATAATAATAGTAAAAAAAGGACTGGGGATATAGTTCAATTGTAAAGAGGCCCTGGGTTCAATACCAAAAACAAAACAAAACCTATCCATTTGCCCTGCTGCTTCTGCCTCCATTGTAACTTCAATTCCTTAAAAACATCCTGGGCAAGCTCACCTTCTCTGGAAGATCTCCTGGCTTTATGGTTCTCAGGTGTCCCCTTTCCCTTCTGCTCTCAGGTGGAGCCTTCAGGATCGCCCTTTCTGCCTATTTGGGACAGCAACTAGTTTGCAAAGTTTGTCAACTGTTTGATTCCACTTTAGGGTGTGATTCTCAAAAGGACAGCAGCTTTTTATATCTGTGTGACTTATGATGTCAAGGGTTCCAAGGGATGAGTTTAGCTGAAAATTTCAGGATCTGGACTGAAGACACCCCTGCTAACAGGGATCAGATAAACCAGGTACCGTGGGGCAAACATGCTCAGGCAATCTGGTTAAGGGCCAAAAGTGCTGCAAAACCAGGAGCTGGATGGGCACATGTCACAGGACCCTTCCATCTCTGACCTCCTCCCAGGCAAGGGTGTTAGCTCCAGGGTCAGGAGTAGGGGGGCCCGGCCCTGCCAAGCCTGGCCAGAGGAGGAGGGAGGCGGGGTGAGTGGGAGGGGCGAGGCAGCCCAGGCGCCTGCAGTGACCTACATCTGCTCCAGCACCGTCTGTCCAGCACCAGAAGGTTCAGAGGCTCTGGTGAGGAGCAGCAGCTGGAAACAGGGAGGAGGGAGTGGACAGAAGGAGGAAGGCCAGTGGTGCACCCAGGTAAGTGGGCCCTGCACATCTGGCTGTTCACCCAGGCCAGGGACAGTAGAGGTGCTGACAGTGGCCTGTCCTCTAACTTTTCTACTTAGAAAGGGTCAGACAGTGGGCATGAGATCAGCCCCAGCAACCTTCTCTGGCTTGTGGATCAAACACTGGGGTGCATACACATTGCCTTCAGTCAACCCCAGGATATTTGGAAGAAAGAATTTCAGTGAGTCCTGACTGGGTGATTCTGCCCTGGCTCTGATTTTCTGGGCACTGCTTGGTTTAGAGTATGAAATGACAGCCAGATTAAAATCTCACTAGCAGTCCAGAATGGGGACCTTGGGGCTGGGACTTGTAACATCTTAATTAATAACATGGTCAAGAAGTTTAGAGAAACTGTCTGGCTCTTCCTACCAGTGGAGAAGTTGGAGGTGGCAGGAACCTGGATCTGCAGAATGGAATAGCAGCTGGGGCAGAGGGTGGGAGAGTGTGGGTCCTAGGGACAGGCCAGGGAGACACAGCCCCGGGGGACCAGGCTGAGAGCCTTGTTGTTCTGCAGTGAGGGCACAAGTCACTGCTTTTGCTCAGGAGAATTAGGATTTTTCTCAAAAGTGGGATTGAATCATGGAGGGAAGACTTCCTTTCCTTCTCTGTTCCCTCCAACTGAGTCAACATTCCCCTGATCTCCAACCACACAGATGTCTTACCCATGTGTCATTGACCTTGTACCTGATATAACTTATTCCTGAAGAGGACAGTGATCTAGCAGGCGGGGTGGTTTACCCTCAGACCCCTAAGCTCCCCAGGGTCTTGCTTCTCTGATTTTCCACTAAACCTGTAGCCAGGAGACTAAGGGAGGGGGGCCGGCACCTGCATGATAATTCATGTGTGACAAATAGCCAAGTAATCAGCTGATAGATGGTGGTGGTGATGATGAAGATGGTGACGAAGATAGCTGTGTTGAACTCAGACTACTCCAGTGTGGGGGTCATGGGCAGGTGCCAGTGCACGCACCTCTACAAGACAACTGTCCTGGGGAAAGGGTGGTATAGAGGCCAAGGCACCCCACAGTGAGGCCTGGCCTGCTGGGTCCTCCTCATTGGCGGCTCTCTCCCCGCCCTCCCTCATGCTTCCCTTCTGAGCAGCGGCTGTGATGTGACGGCGCCTGTGGTGCCTGTGACCGCTCCAGAACGCGCGCACTTGGCGCACCATGGCATTCCAGCACACTGCGGGGCAGCGGCTGGACTGCAAAGGTGAAGCTGAGGCCAGAAGTGCCAGTGGGTGGGCATTTGTGAAATGGAAATGAGGAGTTTGCTGTCATGGGCAATTCTAGATGGATGGCTCTTTGGGCAGGAAATGGAATTTCCAAAAGGGAACCGCTTGGCCGCTAGCCAACCACCCAGGAGGTGGGCTTGCTGGAGAATTCTTTGAAGACTCCCCCAACTCACTCATCGCTCCATCCCATCCCAGAATCAACCCACCCCTTCTCCTGTGTGGAACACGGCATTGGCCTTAACAGATGGATTCAGTGGAGAGGAAATCAGAGGAATTGTGGTGGTGGAGGTTGGGAGAGGCTGGGAAACACTCGTGATCACATGACACTATAATTCATGGCCTCAGAGGGGAGCAGATGGATTTATGGTGATCCCACTGGCTGGGCATAGAAGAAGCTTAAGACTCGCCAAGTCAGGGACACTCCTCGGCAGACCTTGAAGGATTCCAGATTGGTTGAGGGTGGGAGGTAAAGGGCTGCTGGACTCTTAGAAAATCTCAGAATTGGGGGAGGAACCTGGAGGCTGGAGAATGTCCTGGAGGATTCACATTCCAAAGTCAAGAGAGCAAGGCCATTGCCATTAAACAGATGGTAGAATCTCAGATAAGTGTGATTCTTCAGGTTTGGGAAAGTATGTCTCACCCTCTCAGAGGTCATGGGTCTAGACCCCACCACGGTAGGCAGGTTCAGTGTTGTGCTTTCCTTTACCTGGGAAAGGTACTGATTGGGCAGCAATCTGTCCTCCCTGGTGTCTCAGAAGTTAGTTTGCTAGAGACAGAATTGGACAAAACCAAACAGCAGCTGGGCAYGGTAGCACATGCCTATAATCCCAGCAATTTGGGTGGCTGAGGCAGGAGGACCACAAGTTCAAGGCCAGCCTCAGCAACTTGTGAAGTCTAAGCAACTTAGAGAGACCCTGTCTCAAAATGAAAGATAAAAAAGCCTGGGGATTGGCTCAGTGATAAAGTGCCCTGGGTTCAATCTTCACGTACCAAAAAAAGAAAAAGAAAACCAAATGGCATSTAGTTGGGGTTAGACTAACTCTTGGGGGTGGCAGCTTCTCCTAACTTCCTCCCCAGATATGGGTTGATGTACTGATGGTGTGAGATGGGCTGAGGTGAGACCAGCCTGGGCCTCTGATAAGTAATTCATCTTCTACCCTCAGATATCAATTTCTACCCTCAGAAGAACCTAAAAGGAGCCAGAGCTATGGCAGGTGAGAGAACTTACCTCCCCACCTCCCCTCCCAGCCCCAACCCCTGGTTGGCACTCCTCAGGGCAGAGGCGGGAAGGAAGCGAGGCAGGAGATTTGGGGAACTCTCCTGTCTCTCTGCTTTTTTCAGTTTGGGCTTGGCTTTCCTGAGTGAAGGGTGCAGAGCCTCCCACATGAGCCCTTGCTTCCTATTCTCCCTTCCCCAGCTTTTCTCTAGTGACATGCTTGGGACCTTCTTAGGGTGCTCCGTGCCACATTCTAGGGGCTGGAGGGCCACCACTGTATTTCCACTAGAAAGTTAGAAAGCACTGGTCACAGGGAGGTGGGCCACACAACCGTGCCCAAGATGGAAGGGAGAAGGGGCCTTGTTCCTTGTCTGAGAGGTTGGACGTTTCAGTCTGCTGAAGGGCACCTGAGAACGGGAAAGGGCAGGCCCTTCTCCCCCTCTCCTACCTTCTCCAGGGAAGCTCGTGAAGAAGTCCTCCATCCCCGGGGTGAGCATCCGGCAGCTGGTGGAGGAGATCCCTGAAGGTTGCAGCACACCGGACTTTGAGCGGAAGCCCGTCACCTTGGCTCTGCAGGAGGGTGAGGCCCGAGGGCGCTGCCCAGGGGAGGCACGATGCCTGCTCTTCCACCTCTCATCATGCACAGGGAAGAAGACTTGGGTGCCCACTTTCCTGAGCACCCAGTCCCTGTGTCTGTCACCAGGCCATATGTCTCCCTCCTGTACTCGAGGGATGTCTGCCTGCCTGGATTCCCTAGAAGGGACAAAGAGTCTTGGGGAGAAGAGTGGGTAAAGGGAATAAATTGAGGCCATCCTGTGCTGATGGAGAAGCTGCAGCCTCATTTTCCTCTTCCCCTTCTGGCCTTGAAGTCACTGCTGCAGAGAGTCAGTGTCAAAACCCCTCTACCCAACAATTGTCTCCTGACAGCCATGTGCCCTCTGGCTCTCAGGCCAGGCTCAGGAAAGCCATGCTAGAAGACCACAGGAGAAAAGTGCCCAGGAAGGTAGTGGGAAGGGGTGGGAATGGCACTGTCCCCAGCACAGTTCCCTGCCATGGATTTTAGTTCGTGAGATTCTGACGTGAGAGCGGGTCTTCTGCTCTCTCGCTTCCTTTTCCTCTCTTGGCTGCATTCTTTCTACTACACAAAAGATGTTTTGTACAAGCCTACATCAGGGATGACAGACAGACAACACAAAGGGCACATCCTATCTCGGACAGGTTTTATTTGGTGAGCATGGCACTTGAAGTTTTCGGAATTAGTTGCCAGCTTGTAATAATTGCAAGTTAGATGCTTGTTGAGAAAGCTGATCTAGTCCCTCCGTTAGTTATGCTTATAATTAGTTTGCCAGAAATTCTTACCAAGAGCCGCCCAAGGAACAATGGTACCATGCTTAATATTTCTAAATCCAAAACAAGGTGGTGAGAAACTGGGGAGGGCCCTGGGGGCTTCAGTCAGAATGCTTTTCCCTGAGATGTTCCTGGGGGGAGGCCTAGGGGATGGTTAGGCTCTCTTGCTCCCCAGGCTCTCTTGCCTGCCATAGAGGTTGGGTCTTTTCTCTGGCTGGGGCCCTGTGTCTTAGGTCTGGCTCCTCTGGGCACCAAACAAACAGCCACTTCTTTCTAATTCTTTTCTGAAACACTCAGAATTTCATCTCCTTCCCAGTCTTGTGGGGATCCTTACACATCCACTCTCAAACAGCCCTGCTCGCCTTCCCTTCTCACCATGGACAGTCCAGTTGCCTCTTTCCTTCATGAAGCACAGGCCAGCACTGCTCTGGGTGCCTGGAAATTGCTGCTTTCCACCTGACATCCTGGGTCCTGGGTCACAGGGACCAAGGCCTGGCACCCTTCTTGCAACAGGCAGTTGAAATACCTAGAGTGGGGAGGATGATATGAATTAAAATCCCAACAAACTCTCCTGTCATTCCACCCCAAATTATCAGTCTCCCTACTGGCCTTTTCCTGCCACAGGGAAAAATGCCATCTTTCGGGCTGTGGTCTGTGGAGAGCCCAGACCCGAGGTACATTGGCAGAGCACCAAAGGAGACCTCAGCAACTCTAGCAAGTACCAGATCTCCTCCGCCCCTGGCAGCAAGGAGCATGTGCTGCAGGTAAGCACCGCAGTTCTCCTCTGACCAGAGTCTACGCCATATTCCTGTCCCCTTTGTGGCTGCAATCTCCAAACAAGTAAAAGATGAATTACTAGTCGAACTTGGGTCCATTCAATTCATTCCATGGCTCAAGGCTTCCTGAGCCACAGATATCTCTGCTGACAGCCTTGGCTGGAGCAGAAGTCTCAAACCATGGGGGTCAAACTACCTGGGTAAAAATCTCAGGCCTACCACCTTGGCTTTGGGAAGTTACCTCTTTCCACTGTTTTCTCATCTGTGCAATGGGATAATCATAATACCTACTTTAAGGAGTTGTTAATGAGGATGAAAGGTTTACGTAAAGGTCTAGCCAGAGTCTTGCCTGAAGTGAGTACACAATCTTTGGCTTATGATTTGACTTATGATTTTTTTTTACTTCATCATGATAAAGTGCAAAAGTGATGTGCAATTTAAGTAGAGGCTAGACTTCAAAATTTGTCCTTTGCATTTTGATCTTTTCCTGGGCTACCAATGTGCAGTACTGTACTCTTGTCCTAGGCAGACGCAGAGAACCACACCTCCCCTACACCTGTGTGACTCCCATTGGGAGTGGGCAAACAGCTCATAATGTATATTGTATTGCAGTCAACGAATTACATGATATATCCAACACTGTACAATAAAATAGGCTTGAGTTAGATAATTTTGCCTGACTGTAGGCTAATTTCAGTGTTCTAAGCACACATAAGGTGGTCTAGGCTAAGCTAGGATGCTCCATAGGTTAAGTGTATTGAATGCATTTTCTTTATTTTGCGGGGGGTATGTACTGGGGATTGAACTCAGGAGCACTCAACCACTAAGCCACATCCCCAGCTCTATTTTGTATTTTATTTAGAGACAGGGTGTCACTGAGTTGCTTAGCACCTTGCTTTTGCTGAGGCTGGCTTTGAACTCACAATCCTCCTGCCTCAGCCTACCAGGCCACTGGGATGACAACCATGTACCACCAGGTCTGGCTGAATGCGTTTTTATTTTGTGATATTTTCAATATTGCTTATTGGGATGTAACTACGGTAAGTCAGGGGATATCTGTGCTCAATCAACCTTGGTTAGTATTAGTACTACTATAGACATTAACCATGGCACTCCTACTATGTGCCAGGTCCTGAGCTAAACATATTATATTGATTAGATGATTTAATCCTGACCATTCACTACTTTTTGAGGTATTATGATCTCTATTTTACAAGTAAAGAAACTGAAGTTCAGAGAGATTAGGTAACTTGCCCAAGGTTCCACAGCTAGTAACATAGGACAAGATGGTTTTCAACCCCAGATCTATCTGACCTCCGAAGTGAGTTTTTCTGCTATTTCACATTTTTTTCTGATGGCAAAGACATCTACCCGCTGAATAGGTTTTTGTTTTGACGTCTATATTTTCTGATAAAGACTGAGCTCCATGAGGACAAAGACTGTGTCCTATCCATCTTTCTACACCCAACATACTGTCACGTCTAGGCCATGGAGGAAGAGAAGTGATAGTCCTGTTCCCCTGCCCTTGGTTCTCTGCAGATCAACAAGCTGACAGGCGAGGACACGGACCTGTACCGCTGCATAGCAGTGAACACGTATGGAGAGGCCACGTGCTCAGCAAGGCTCACTGTCATTGAAGGTGGGCTTGTCCCCAGAGCACTTCYACACTAAATCTGCATGCAAGTAAAATCTGTACTCTTGGCAGTAGACAGCCTGCTGTGGTTGCTGGGAAAGATGCCCTTTTTGTCCAGTGGAACCAGGCCACCACCTGGAATTTGGTTTCTAGTCCTGGGTCTTCTGCTCATTCACTTCCTTTTCCTCTCTGGGTCTCAGTTTCTCCACTGTACAAAGGATGCTTTGTTCAGGCCTACATCAGGGGTGACTGGCAATCCAGAGGGCAAATTCTATCTCAGACAGGTTTTGTTTGATGTGCATGGTGCTTGAATTTTTTGAGATCAATTGTTCGTTTGTAATAATTGGAAGGTAATTGAGAAAGCTGATCTAGCCTCTTGATTAATCATGCTTACCATTGGCTGGCCTACAAGTACCAGAAATTCTTATTAAGAACAGCCCAAGAAGTAAAGGTCATTATTTCACACAGTTAGAAGTCCTGAGATGGGAGTCCAGGGCTCACTGCACAGCGCAGCTGGAGAGCTGGATTCCTTTGTCTCACTGCTCTCCATCCCTAGCAGGTTGGTTTATCACCTTGTAGTCACAGACGGCTGCTGCAGGTCCAAACTTAATCCATGTCCAAGGCAGGAAGAAGGGGAAGGAAGTGGTCCCAGGTACACTTGACTCTCTTATCAAGGAAGCAAAAGGTTTCTCAAGAACTTCTGAGTCTTTTGCTTCCATTTCATTGACCAGAATGGTGTCCTGTAGCCACACTGCTAGTTGCAAAGAAAGCTGGGAAGGCAAGTATTTAGCTTTTCCAGGCTCTCCAATGGAAGCAGATGAAGAGGCTAATGGATGACTATGGAGCAGTGTCTGACATTTGGCTATTGGGCCCATACCTTGAAATGGCAACTCTCAGACACGAACACCAGCTGACCCTTTAGATGCCCACTTTCCTGTTGTTGTCTGTGGTCACTTCACTCATTTATGCCACCTCCTTGACCATGTGGACATGTGAGCAAGCTTCCCTGCCTGAGGAAGTACTCAGGCAGGCCTTCCCAGGTCAGGTTAAGGATCTGGGTTCAAAGCTCATGCAAGATGGATCTCCACCTGCTCCATGCCTCAAGCTGGGATGTTGCTATGCTTTAGAGGACAGCAGGGTGGTGGTGGTCAGGGCTCTGGGACTGAGCAGTTTATTAGGAAGACCATAAATGTGTCTTGCCTTTCTCTGCCTGTCTACATCGATGCCCTCCATTTCTCCCTGGATGGTCCAGTTGGCTTTCGGAAGAACCGGAAAAGGCAAAAGGAACCACAGGAGGGTAGGTGGATTTGATAGAAATCGTCTTGGAGGCTCAAATCCCCATGCACACCTGTGGGTTATCACCAGTCCCCAGGAGAGCCTCTTCCAAAAGCTTGGTTGTCAGCCCTGGACCACATAGACAAGCCTAGCCCCTTGGCCTCTCACCTGGGAGTGGGGTCTCATCCTTTCTACTTTTATAGACCTCAGGAAGGAGTTGATGGACTTCCGGAACATGCTGAAAAAGAGGTGGGTCTGGGCCTGCCCAGGGGGGATTCAGAAGCTCCCATGGTACCCACCCCCTTCTCCCTTCTATCACAAGCTGGGCTCAGCCTCTGCCTGCACCTTCAGCAGGCAGCTAGACTGCTGCTACCAGTGAGAGGCTAGAAAGAGCACTGCACTGGAAATTCTGGGTATAGCTTGGTCCTTGCCTACATCCTTGAGTTAGTCATCTCTCCTCGCTGGGTCCTAGCCTCCTCACTTGCAAAATGGGGTAGCTTACTAAAACTATAATTTTCTAAAATGTTTACAGCAAAAGAATGATTCTACCCCACCCTGACCCCACCCAATGATATCTTACTCAGAAATCAACAATACAAGTAGTTAGAAGCCGAGTTTCTTTGAAAGCTAGAGCTACTGAGTGTAGCTCAGCCCTTCTGGGTCCTTCTAGCCCAAACAGCAATCAGTCTCAGAGATTTGAATCCCTTTGCTGTTTCCTCAAGTGCACGTAGGGAAGCTTCTCTGGACCTCTCTGAGTGCCAGGACCAGGTGTTCAACACCCAGGGCTCCTCCAACCTCTGACCTGCTGGCTCTGCTGCCCAGGGCCCCTCCTCCAGCTCCAGAAAAAAAGATGGAGACTGAGCAGGTGTGGCAGCTGCTGATGACAGCAGACCGGAAGGACTACGAGAAGATCTGCATGAAGTATGGCATCGTTGACTTCCGGGGCATGCTGCGCAAACTGCAGGAGATGAAGAAAGAGCGGGAGGACAAGATGGCCCAGGTACCCTCACCCTGCCCCACTCTACACAGCTAGAGCACAGGGGCCTGGAGGGGCCTCACGCCTGGAATTGGGCTTGGAGGTGGGCCTTGGGAAACCCAATATTATCAAGGGCCTGCCTCCATCTGGTTCCCAAAAAAGTATCCTGCTAAGGACCCGAGTTCCAAGCTGGTACCCAGGCTGTAAAATCCAATACTTGCTAAACTGGAGTTTTGAAAAAGTGGGGCCCTCTGTGACTTGGTGTCCTCATGGGAATCATAGTTATAACTACTGTCAAGGGCACAGCTCAGTTCTGCCATGGCAGCGGCATAGGTTGCTGAGAGACCAAAGAAAACACCCAGAGGCAGTATAGGGGGCATAAGCTTCCTTAAGAAATGCTTATGAGGGAAGGTCCAGTACTATAGGCTGACAGAGAGCACCGCCATCCTTCAGGGTGCTTCTCCAAGCAGTGTCCCCTCCCCCTCATGATGTTTTGTCCAGTGGCAGCCTGCTGGACAAGTGACACCTATTCTTTCCACAATGTCCTCAGTCACCACTGAGGACACAGGTACAGTGTGTACACTGTACACATTGTGTACACACTGTTTCCACAATGTACCAGTCACCACTGAGAGGCAGGGTTTATATATTAGGCTGCAGAAAAAGTGACATTATCAGCTTGAACTTGCTTACTTTGCTTGTATGACCAGAATTATAAGGAGCACCTGTCCTGGTGTACATGCAAGAGGTAGTTTTCTACAGATAACAAAAACTTCCCCTAATTCCCAGCGTACACGAGAGAGAGTCAGTGTCCTAGTTTATCTAGCATTCCTGGCCCAGGCCTGCTCTTTCTTCCCTTGACTCGACCAGGTTCCTGGGAACTACAGGGGCATTTCAGGGATATGGTATCTTACTGTCCTCTTTTTCTTTAAGGATGATGTACCTACCTCATGGGGTTATTGAAAGCATGAAATAAGAGGTTGTATTTAAAGCAATTAGTCTAGTGCCTGGTGCATGGTAAAGACCTAGTGTCAGCTGTCATCATCATCACCAGACATGGGGAACCTGCCTTTTTAAAAAAGATTTCCAGGGAAGGGAATTTATCAGTTGCCATTAGCACTCTGATTCCAGCATCTTATAAACTATGTAGAAAGTTTTTTTCTGCAGCTAACTTAACTGTAGTATACGTCTAATTTTTCTTTTGGAAGTGGAAATCAAGTACTTTTAGTTATCATGAAAATAGTATTTCATCACTTGGAAAATGGTATTTTATCACTTAAACATCCCACCTGGGACTTCAGCTTTCTCTCCTCCAAGCTTTCCCATCTGCTTTAACACAGGACTCAGCACAGAGATTTGCATGCAGCAGATGCTCAAAGGATGTTGATTAGCTGGAAGAACAGATAAATGGAAAAGCCCTAGAATGTTTTTAGAGCACCTGAACACCTTGTTTGCCTTTCTGACCTAATTTCTTGGAGATTTTCCTTCCTTGAGGACTTAAGTCTCCCCACTTAAAAAATGAGCAAATGCTTTCTCAACTGGGGCATTGTGGGCCAGGGATGGAATCAGGGATTATAAGGGTTGGAAGTGCTCCGAAGATTGAGTTTGAGACATTCCCCTGATTGATTTGTCTCCCCTTTAGTACATCAATGCCGTCTCCAACTTGAGACACATCAAGGTCTCCAAGGATGGGGTCGCTTCATTTGCCCTGGAGCTGGATCTCAAGGACTTTGAGAGCAAGATTTACTTGTATAAGGTGAGGCTGGAGGGCCCATGGCAGAGGAAACTGGCAGAGATATCACAGGTCCTGGGAAGGGAAGCAATTGATCTTGTAAGGGTCCGGCGGAGCGTCGGAGAAAGAGACCACACAAGAGACTGGCTCCATGCAATTGGCAAAAGGGGATTTATTAATTCAGCATGCTGAGGTTCCAGGCTCACTCAGGAAGATAGAGCAGCCCAGAGCCCAGAGCAGAGGTCAAGCAGAGCTTAAGTACACTTTTTGGAGAGGGCGGGGGGCTTTGCATACATCAGAACAAATCATCATGAGGCGCGGGAAAATTGAACAACAACTCCAAGACATGATTAGTACATTCATTGGCGGGAACAGTCTGGGCAGGGGTGATTTGTCACTCCTAAGTGGGGTACACATTTAAACTGATTGGTTTTGGGGCCTGGATGCCTACGTGCCGAGCTACTTGGAGCCCTTAGCTATTAAACAACCAGGGGACCAGGAGAAATATTTACTGGGCAGTTCAGGTATTGTCTTAACAGCTACAGGGATTACAGGTTCCGGGGGTAGCAGAGGAATTTTAACAATACCTAGTCTTTTACACTTTAACTCAGGCTTTTGCAGCTTAGAATCAGCTTAGAAATTTTACCTTTACAATCTCATGGGGCCCCTGTGGGAACAACCAGAGCACACAAGTGGTAAAACCCTCATCCCTTGGAGTTCCTGGTTAGGGTTAGGTCAAATCCTGGTGTAGACAGCCCACAGCCAGGCTCTCCACAGACACTCCTAGCTGTGTCTAATTCCACAGCAGGGGGTGAGCAGAGAGATCTGAGAGAGGGCACTCTTCTCCATCTGACCCCTGCCCCAGAGACTTGCCACATCCCTACAGGGGCTCCAGAAGAAATAACCTATCAACGCACTAGAGGTTGGGGCGGAAGTGTGTGGTTTGGGGGGCATAACATTACTTCTGTAGCCAAATTCATTCCAGCTCCATCACATCACTCAGACAAGGTACATTTTATCTTCCTAGAGACTCAGTTTCCTAATTGGTGAAATGAGTGTGACACAGGGCTGTCTTATGCACAAGGAAATGCCCCTCCCCATCTCTCCCCTTCCTCCTGCCCCTCTCCCCCTGCTGCTGTGCCAGTCTGCTCTCTGGCCTAGTCCATTCCTTTGCTCCAGCTGCTCCCTGTGCCTGGTCTGCTCTTCCCCAACATCTATAGGCTAACTCCCTTCCCTGCAGGGACACTTCTCTTGACCCTAACCACCCCATGTACCCCCTAATGTTCCACCCAGTATCTTTTATTTTCCTCTGTTTTTCCTAGTTCTGTTTTATTTTTCCTAACATAAATAATTACTTATTTATACTGTTTATTATTTGTCTGTATCCTTCAGGATTTTAGCACCCTGAGGGCAGAAATCTTTTTTTTTTTTTAATTGATGTGTCCCAAACATCATTGTGTGCTTGGCACACAATGGGCATCTGTTAAGTGCTATTATTAATATTCAGAAAATAGCAAATCTATGGAAGGCTTAGTAAAAGGAGGTGTATGTATGTAAATTGCTGGGTTTTATAGAGCCTTAAAGATGTTCCTTAATGTTCCCCTTGATGAATAGARGCGTTCCCTGCCCTGGGGCCCCAAGTCTGCCTGAATGCCTCCCCTGCTAACCATGGGGCTGTTTTGGAAGTAACTCTCCTCCCAGCCTGAGCTGGGTCAGCAGTCTAGTGCCTCTGCATCCTCTTGTCAATCTCCCTTCTGTGGTAAGGAGTGTAACATTCCTAGCCCGGTATTCCCATCTGCTTGTTTAATGCCCTCCAGGCCCACCATGCCCTTTATAGCTTCAGGACCAGGTTTTCTGTGGCCTGAGCCAGAAGGAGAAAACTGCTAGTTGTAGCCGACAAACTGCTAGTTGTAGCCGAGTGGAGCAGGAGGTTCTGGGGACCTACTGAGTCCCTGAACCACCCCTCTTCCTTTTCTGGTGGCAGGATGGTGAGATGATCCCCTATGGCTTTGACAACCAGACCAAGCACTGTCTGCGGCGGCTGGGGAAGCGCTACCAATTCCAGATCCTGGACCTGCGGCCTGAGGACGCTGGCCTTTACCAGGTCAAGGTGGAGGATGCCGTGGTCTTCTCAACAGAACTGGAGGCCAGTGGTGAGTTGTCTACACTGCAGAAATTTGAATAGGGGACATCATTTAAGAATGGGCTCCATTTCAGGGCCCGTGGTGAGGGGATAGATGTGACAGGGCCTAATGCAAAGACAATTGGGGAGTGGGATGCAGAGTCAGGTACCTAAATGATGATGCTCAGCCTTGGTCCATGCTGTCCTCTGTTGGTACTGAGCTGGCTCTACCAAGTTACAGTCATGGACACAGAACAGAAGTGTCATGCCCCTAACTACAAACCTTCTACCACAGTTGATTATTTTCAGATTACACCCAAACTGATTTCACATCCTCTTGCCATAACTTTACTTCAGTGGGATGCATGTCCTCATCTCTCACAATTCCCTAGCAAGAATCTCCACCTGGGGTAGGTGCCCTTGTGTCCTACATAGATCTCTCTCTTTCCTGCTTCCCATACCCCCACCCCCACAATCTGGGTGCTGCCCCACCTTCCTCATTAAACCTTGTTCCATACCTGCGAGGACTCATGTCCCTATCACTGCATAGCACCTAGCAGCTCTGGAGGGCTCTTGGAAGAACAAACAGGCCTGGGGAAGGAAGCTTTGGGTAGATAGACCATAAAGAACATGGCTGAACCAAGGCCAAGGAAAGAGAAGGAAGTGAGGCACCACTTCTGAAAACAGCCTCAGAGGATCCCAATCTAACTATATCCCCATATTTTATGTGTGTGGAGGACTGATTCCCTGGGTAAGGAAGTGACCCATCCCAAGGTGTCACAGGAGTTTGTAGCCAAACTGGTCTGAACCTGGGTTCTGAACTCCCAGGTTTGTAGCCAAGCTGGTCTGAACCTGGGTTTCTGAACTCCCAGCCTCTCTGTATCAGGTCACACCATGTCATGCTGCCAAGCTGACACTCCAACTCCTGTTTCCTCTGCAGCCATCCCCCCCAGAGTGGTGGTCCCACTGGCCGAGGCCCGCTGTGAAGAACACGGTGATGCAGTCTTTGAATGTACTCTCTCCAACCCCTGTCCCAATGCTGCCTGGCATTTCAAGCACCGGCCCCTCCGACTCAGTGACAAATATGAAGTATCTGTGTCCCCTGATGGTCTGACCCACCGGCTGGTGGTGAGAGGGGCCCGGTTCTCAGACAGGGGCCTCTATTCGCTGGATACCGGGCTCCATGCTTCTAGCGCCTGGCTGGTGGTTGAAGGTGAGTGGTCATACCTCTGTCTTTCCCTGCCTCCACCAAGGCAAGGACTCACGGTCAGGGTCAGGGCAACGGGGTTTCCTTTGGTCAGTCATTTACTTTCGAATCATTCCCTCACTCACAATAAGGAAGGGTCCTTAGAGCTCTTCTTTTTAAAAATTGATTTGCCTAAAGCAACTGTTTTAGGTCCATCCCTCACCCACCATGTCTACTAATGCCAGATGTAGTCTATCCTGTGTCTGTGTGGGCGTGCGCATGCGTGCATGTTTCCCTACTGGGGATCAAACCCAGGCACATTTTACCACTGAGCTACATACATCCCCAGTCATTTTTATTTTAGGACAGTGTCTTGCTAAGTTTGCTTGGAGCCTTACCATGTTGCTAAGACTGTCTTCAAATTTGCAATCCTTCTGCCTCAGCCTCCTGAGTTGCTGGAATTATAGGCATGTGCCACCACACTGGGGGGTACAATCTACTGCTTTATTTTTTCTTTCCATTCTTCCTCCTCCTCCTTCACCTTTTTTTTTTTTTTTTTTTTTTTGGTGCTGGGGATGGAATCCATGGCCTCCTACACGCTTAGTGAGCACTCTGCCACTGAGCCACCCACACCCCAGCCCTCCTTAGATCCATTCTTGCTCCACTGCAATACAGTCTTCTCATGGCCATTCCTGTTCTCCTCCACGGCCTCTGTCCTACTGGCTCTCTTGGAACTACTCTGGTAACAGAGATCCAAAATGGCCCTAGGGCTCTATGTAGGGCTTGAAATATTGGCCCAGGTTCAGTGTAGATAAGGAGACTCTAGGCCAGGCCAGAGAGAACTCTTATATCTCCCTTGGAAATGGAATCTGGAAAATTATAAATCAGACAGATGTAAGGCAGGGGATAGGGCAAGGGAATCTTTTAAATATCATGTAACTTCTTCTGGCAGTTTGATAAGCAAATGACTTTGGCTTATGTACTTATGTGTCAAAATCCTCCTGAAGCATGTGGGGTGGAATGTGGATACAGGGTGGGGGAAATGGAGATGGGATTTAGCCACCAATCTCTGGAACATCTTGGCTTCCTTCTTAGATGGGCAGCTTGTTTTCTACTGGGGAAACTGAAAGTCAGGCAAAAGAGTTGGGTCAGGCAGGTGCTTTGGTCTGATTTAACAGAAGTTTTGGTCTTTCCTCTTGTCTCTCTATGGGCCCATTGACCTCCCATGTACATAATATCTCACAGAAGCTGGGAAGGATAAAGGCCTGCAGACTACAAGAGCTGACCACCAGCTGCAGACACCAGGAGCTCAAGCCTCAGATGCAGAAGACTCCAAGGACATCAGTGGCCAGGGAGGGAAGCCCAGGGAACTGGGCACCATGGGTGACTTCCTAGAAGGAGCAGGGCCTGCTTCTGGGCTCCAGCTCACAGCAGGCCCAGACAGGGATGGCCTTGGTAGGCAGGGCTACTCCTTGATGGGAGATAAAGGGACAGGTGACTCAGCCTGGGGCCCTGGACAGGACAGGAAGGGCTTTCTAGAAGCAGAGGAAGGCAGAGTCACTCTTCTCAGGGACAATCAGCCCCATTTAGAGGGAGACTGGGGTGGAAGCTTTCCAGGGAGATCTCATCTACAGGGAGAAGGCCCAGAATCAGGGTTGGACTTCATGGAAAGACAACTTGAAGGTCATGGCAGAGATGGTGATGGGGACAGAAACTGGAGAACAGCAGGAGGCTGGGAGGCCGGGTCCACTCACTCTCAGACTGGAGGACTGGGGAGCATCAGGGGAGGAAAGGAGCCCAGAGAGGTCAATGGCAGTCAGCTGGACATACATGGCCAAGAACAACTCTGGGACACTCATCAGGGACCTGGAACAGGAAAGAAGGCCCTGTGGGGACCCCAATCTGATCATGAGGGGTCTTGGCTAAAAGGGGAGGGAAGGGAGAAAATTTTGGCTGGAGATTACCTGGAGGAGATGGAGGGAGGAGATGGTTTGAGTAGGGAAAGGGGGACAGCAGCAGCCAGGGCAGCGTGGGCTGGCAGAACTGGCCTGGGGGATGCTGGAGACAATGGGACAGGAGGCCCTGGTGCCCTAGAATTTCCTGGAGGAAGAAGTTTTAGCTCCAAGGCAGGCATGGGCCCTGAATCTTGGGGCTCCCAGGGAAGTGGAGATGCTGACCATCAGGAAACTGGGGGCTATTGGGAGTCAGGGGAGTATCCAGGAAAGATATCCGGTGGCAAGCACCCCCAAGAACCATCACTACCTGGAGGCAGAAAATCTATTTTGGGGGGCAGGAGTCCTGAGGCCAAAGCTGAGGGCTCACTACAGGAGGCAGGTGATCCAAGGCTAGGGAGGACTGGGGATGTGGGAAGGAGCTACCGAACTGGCCCTGGAGGCCCAGGAGATCTTGGAGACTGGGAAAGTGGCCAACATGAACTCCGGGTAAGGGGTAGCCAGTTCACAGATGGGGCCTTGAGCAGGGCAGGGGATAGCTCCAGAAGGTCCCAGTCTCCCCATAGCTGGACAGAAGGGCAGAAGGAAGCAGGGGACCCTAGCAGAACACAGTCTGAGGGCACAGGTTTCTGGGATGACACAGGGTCCAGTCTCAGAAAGACTGGGACCCACCTTGGACCTAAAGTAGTGGGGTCCAGTGGAGGGGAAAAGGGTATGGTTGGTGCCCGGGGAGCTGGGCCAACGGAGTCTGGTCAGGGGATAGATGGCAGAAGCCACAGTTTACTTAGGTCTCCAGGCCTGGGTATGTCGAAGTCCGGGGGAACACAAGGAGATGCAGAAGGATTAAGAGATCCCAGAGCAATAGGGCCTGAATCAGAATTCTGGAATGGATCAGGTAACTCCAGAGAAAAAGGAGCCAGAGGTGAGATGGGCTATAAGTATGGCCCAGGAGGTAGCAGGGGAGAGGAATCTAGGAATGGGGATGGCTCAGGGTATTTTAAGGGAATAGATCCTAGAAATAGGGCTGCTTATAGAGATGGCTCAGAAGTGCCAGGAGAAATGGGGTCTGCTCCTGGTGATGGTTTTAGAGTCACCTCTGGAGCACCTGTGAGAACAGAGTCTGAGGAAGGGGGTACTTACAGGCGTGGCTCAGGTGGACCTGGGGGGATGTGGACTGGAAATAAAGATCATCATGGTCCTACAGGATATGGGTCTGGGAGCAGTGTTGGTCTTAGGAATGGCTCAGGTGGCCCTGATGGAATGCTCATTGATGAAGACCAGAATTGGGGTACACCCCGGGGCCAGGGGAAAATAGGCTCTGCAGAAGGGTACTGTCCTGATGGTAGCTTAGGGAGTCCTGGAACAGTGGGGCCTGTGGGTAGAGGTGGCCCCAAGGCCCCTGGAACAGTGCAGACTATTGGGGAGGGATATGCAGAAGCAGAACCAGGGGGGTCTGGAACAATAAGGCCTTGGGGTCAGACTAGAGATTTGGGGGGCTTCAGAGCCTCAGGGGCCCTGGGAACCTTTGGAGAAGGGAGTTTTGAAGATGGGACAGGGGGTCCAGAAGCCATGGAGCCAGGGTCTCTGAGGGCAGGGGGAAAAGAGGCTGATGGAGATAGGACTAGGTGCCTTGGTGCCAGGGCCTCTGGAACTGGAACAGGGTTTGGGGACAATACCAGGCATCCTGAGACATTAGCTTCTCATGCTGGGGCTGGTTCTAAGAGCCTATGGGCTYATGGGCCTGGTGATGTGTTGGGTTATGGGGATGGATCTAAAATTCCCAAGTCTGAGGGCATTGGGAGCAGAACAGCTTATGGAGTAGGGCCAAGGGATCTTGGTCCTGGAAGAATAGGGCCAGGGGATGAGGCAGATTTTGGAGATGGCTTAGGAGGCCTCAGAGGAATGGCAGCAGCAGATAAGGCAGGATATAGGGGTGGTGTTGGAGGTGCTGGGGATATGGGGTCAGGGGGTGAGGCAGGTTATAGCAGTGGTATTAGAGGTTCTGAGGATAAGGGGTTGGAGGGTGAAGCAGGTTTTAGGGGTGGTATTGGAGGTTCTGGGGACATGGGGTCAAGAGGTGAGGCAGGTTGTAGGAGTGGTATTAGAGGTTCTGGAGCTAAGGAGTTAGGGGATGAGACAGGTTATAGGAGTGTTATTGGAGGTTCTGGGGGTATGGGGTCAGGGGGTGAGGTAGGTTATAGGGGTGATATTGGGGACATGGGGTCAGGGGAAAAGGCAGGTTATAGGGGTGGTATTGGAGGTCCTGGAGATATGAGGTCAGGGGGTGAGGCAGGTTATAGAAGTGGTATTAGAGGTTCTGGGTATAAGGCATTGGGGGATAAAGCAGGTAATAGGGATGATATTAGAGATTCTGGAGATAAGGGGTCAGAGGGTGAGGCAGGTTATAGGGGTGGTATTGGAGGTCCTGGGGACATGGGGTCAGGGGGTAAAGCAGGTTATAGGGGTGGTATTAGAGGTCCTGGGGATATGGGGTCAGAGGGTAAAGCAGGTTATAGGGGTGGTATTGGAGGTCCTGGGGATATGGGTTCAGGGGGTGAGGCAGGTTATAGGGGTGGTATTGGAGGTCCTGGGGACATGGGTTCAGGGGGTGAGGCAGGTTATAGGGGTGGTATTGGAGGTCCTGGGGACATGGGGTCAGGGGGTAAAGCAGGTTACAGAGGTGGTATTGGAGGTCCTGGGGACATGGGGGCAGGGAGCAAGGCAGGTTGTAGGGGTGATTTGGAACATTCTGGGGATGCTTTGCCATGGAGTGAGGCAGGTTTTAGGGATGGTGTAAGGGGAGCTGGAAGAATGGGGTCAGGGGATGAGGTTGGTTTTAGAGGAGGCTCAGGAGGATCTGGGGCAATGGAGCCTGAGGGCAAGATGCACTATGGAGAAGGTTCTGGGAAGTTTGGAACACCAGGCTCACTGATGGGAATGAGACACGATGCAGGACCCAGAGACCACAAAGCCATGGGGGAGGGGGCAGGATACGGGTTAGCATCAGAAGGTGGCACAGGCTCCTATGATGGTCCAGAAAAGGGCAGAGGAATGGGGCTTGCACATGGTGCAGGTCCTGGGATAGCTGGAATGCTGGGGACTGCAGATGATGCTGCAAACAGGGACAGCCTCAGGAGCCCAGGAATGCTGGGGTCACAGGAAGTGCCACAGACTCTTTCAGATGGAAGGGGCTCCAAGACCAGTCTTGGGGGCAATGGAACCTCAGGGATTCCTGCAGCCTCGGGGGCCGTTTGTTCCAAAGGAAAATCAAGTGTTGGAGAGTGGCAAGATGGTTCTGGGATTCCAGGGTCTCCTAGGGACAGAGGAGCTCCTAGGGGGGAGGGTGAGTCTCCAGGCCAAGCAGGGGATTTGGGGGCTTTTAGGTTTCTTGATGGTAGGAAGGCAGTAGAAGGTGAGACCTGGGCAGGGACAGCTGCTCTGGAGTCTGGACGTGAACAGGACTTAAGGAAAGCAGGGTCAGGGACCATGGACAAGGGCAGAATGGCTGGCCCATGGGGAGAGGCACCCCAGGGAGGGAGGGACTCACTACCAGGAGGCAGAAGGATGGGAGCAGGTTCTGGTAGCCCAGCCTGGCAAGATCAGGAGTTTGGCCAAAGCAGCACACATGCTGGGAACCGCGTCCCAGGCTCTGTGGTCCATGGTTCTCGGCAGGAGAAAGATTCCACTTTCAGGGGAACACATGAGGGGCCAGGGGACTCTAGAGGCAGGGAACATGCACCAGGCTACGGGGCTGCTGGTGGATGTCAAGGCCCATGGTCCCCGGAAAGCAAAGGTTCAAGCTCTAGAAGGGGCAGGTCTGGTGGTACAGCAGACTCAGGTGGCCTAGGCACAGGGAATTCCACAGAGTGGGAGGATGGTCTTGCCCCCAAACCTAGGGAGTCCAGACTGCAGGGATCCAGGAATGGCTTAGACGATTCCTTTGGCAGAAAAGGCTCTGGAGGTAGATCAGGGAGGATCCAGGGCCCAGGCTCTCAATTAGGGCAAGGACAAGGAGGAGAAAGGGGGTCTCTCGGGGAGCAGGGTTTTTTGGAGGCTGAGAATGAAAGCAGGACCCTAAAGGAGTATGAAGAATGGGAGGTAGGAGAGTCTGGCAGGTCGGGCAGGAGGCCAGGTCCCCATTGGAGCAGGTATCAGACACAGTCTGGGGTTGAGGCAGCAAAGAGAGGGGGCACAGAGGAGGCCAGAGGCCGGAGGCAGCTACCTGGCAGTGATAATGGAGAGCACCTGAGGGAGACTCAGAGTGGAGAYGTGAGCCAGGGCACCCCCAGACATCTTGGCAGCAGGAAAAGTGCCAAAGACTGCAGGTTGGACATCCTTGATGAGGGGCAGAGTGCCATGCAGAGTTCCAGGTCTGGATACAAGCCCGGCACTGGCAGTGTCTCCCCGACGGCCCGAGGTAGGTATTCCTGGCTGGGCTATTTGGGGTGGGGTGCAGCAAAGCAGAAGTGTCCTGAACACTGGGATGCCTGGGCCATTCCCATCYGTGCCAGCACCCCCATTTTCAGGAGCCTCTTGCAAATTCAGTAAACAACTACTTCCTCTTTGTGTAGACTGATTCCAGGCTGTGTGAGACYCAGAGGCCCCCTGGGTACCTGGTCTTAAAATCCTATGACCGAAATTCTAGAGTTGTGAAGCAGGCCAGAGATCCCCCTTCCCCCAGAAGACCCTGGGGACTTCCTATCTGTGTGACTCAGGGGCCCCTCTACCAGCCTAGGTCCTGCTGAGAAAAGTGGAGGCTTGTCTGTGCTGACACTGGGGGATCCCAATGGGCAGGACCATGGTGGCCATCCCCAGGGTGCAGCGCAGGCTATGACCTGGGAGGCTGGGCCTTGAGGACTCCTTTGTATATCTCCAGGCCCCAGGGGCTACTTCTCTCAGGGCTTGGCTGACACAGAGGTGCAGCAGGGGAAGGCCGCCACGCTTTCCTGTACCCTCACCAGGGACCTGGGACCTGGTGCCTGGTTTAAGGATGGAGTCAAGGTATTGTCCCCTCACTCTTTCTTTTTAAAACAAATGTAGGTGCCTGTGGGGGTGGGGGCAGGGACAAAGCAGAGGGATAGAGGGTAGAAGGTTGGCTAAAAAATTGTTTATTACTCTTAATTTTACTTATGTACCCACCTTGAGAGAAGCTTAAATAGCCAGCAACTTGGTGTGTTTAAAATAAAAAAAATCATAAATGAATGTGGTACCAGCCAATCCCGTGGCATACCCCTTGTTCTTCCACCACCCCCAATGTCTTCTCTACACCTGCACCTGCCAAGGTCCACCCACCCTTCAAGGCATCATACAAATGCACCTTCCCATCCCAACCAGGGGCCTCTTTCGTCAGTCTTGCAGCTCCTCTGTGCTCCCTCATAGCTCTCACGTCAGGAGGAGATAGCATAGGGGTTCAGAGCACATGGCATCCGGGAGATCTGATTCCAGATATCCAGTTATGTGACTTGGACAAGTTCCTTGCCTATAAAATGGAACTAACAATACTACCTTTTTTTTTTTTTTTTTTGTACTGGAGATTTAACACAGAAGGGATGTTACCACTGAGCCACATCCCCAGCCCTTTTAATTTTTGAGACAATTTAGCAACTAAGTTGCTTAGGGCCTTGCTAACTTGCTAAGACTCAACTCAGACTTGTGATCCTCTTGCCTCAGCCTCCCAAGTTGCTGGGATTACAGGCATGCGCCACTGAGCCCTGCTAATACTACCTATCTGATAAGGTTGTTGTCACAGTTAAATGAGGTACGAAGCAAGGAGTGCCTGTGCAGGCACAAAGCTATCAAATCCCATAGCAACTGCACCAGCAGAGGGCGCTGGAGGAGCCAGGTGCGCATGGGAGTGACTGTCTCTTGCTTTGGCCCTTKTCTCCAGCTCACTGCCCAGGATGGGGTCGTCTTTGAGCAAGATGGCCTGGTGCACAGACTCCTCATCGACTGCGTGCAGGGCACCCAGGCTGGGAGGTACACCTTTGTGGCCGGCAACCAGCAGAGCCAGGCCACCCTGACCGTCCAGGGTGAGGTCCAGCCCTGTCCTTACCTGTCTGGCAGTCTCTGCAAAAGTAGATAAGCTTTACTTTGAAACCCCTTAATTTTTTTGTAGCCAGTCTTCAGCTTTTCAGTCTGAGAAGATGACTTATAAAACCAACCCAAGGTCTTCCCCTTCCAGTGTCTTATCTCCTTCCTTGCTAGGAAGTCCTTGGTGAGGTCCTTGGTGAGGTCTAACCCTGGTTCCTCCTGCTTTAAAGTTCATTTGCCTTATATGTCCTCATGAGGTGGGGTGTGGGGTTCCTTACTCTTAGCCCAATCTCCCTTCTGGATTCTTCTTTCAGTGTTCCCAGGGACCTGGTGCCTGTCTTCTTTGACTCCCTTGTCCTGTTTTTYCTCCAGATCCCCCCATAATTGCTCCAGATGTGACAGAGAAACTGAGAGAGCCACTGGTGGTCAAGGCTGGGAAGCCGGTGACAATGAAGATCCCCTTCCAGAGCCACTTCCCTGTTCAGGCCACCTGGAGGAAAGACGGGGCCGAGGTGGTGGGCAGCAGCCACAGAGGGGCCCAGGTGGCCCTGGGGGATGGCTACACACGACTGTGCCTTCCCAGCACGAGCAGGAAGGACGGTGGCCGGTACAGCGTGATGCTAAGGAGCGAGAGAGGCTCTGTGCAGGCTGAGCTCACCCTGCAAGTCATAGGTGCCAACCCCAGCCTTTGCCCCATCCAAGGCCTGAGGGTCCCTGAGATTCCAGGTCCTCCCTGACAGTAGGGGCAGGTCTGGGGTGCAGTCTCTGTGGGCTCTGATCCTTTTTTGCATGCTGTTTTGCATCCAAAGCCACCCCTGTCTGTCCACTGTCTGCTCCCTAAACTGAGCAGGAAGATGCAGTTTGGATGAACAAGGCCCAGGCTCCTGCTGGGAGGATGTGGTTATTCTCCCACAAGCCCCAAAGCACAGGGTGCTAGGGAAGTTGCTGGAGTGAGATTGAGGCCCCCAGCTTCAGTGGTGCTAGCAACATAGGACTGCTGTGTCCAGGAGGCTGAGCTGGTCCCATGCACCCACCCAATGGGGCTGGTATGGGTTAAAGCATTCCATGGTACATGTGTGTGTGTGTGTGTGTGTGTGTGTGTGTGTTTATGAGTGTGTTGGGGAAGTAGAGACCAGGGACATCTGTCTGTCTCAGGAAACCTGTGAACCTCTGGGTAATGCCCAAGGCTCTCTGGGTAGTCCACCCCATTGCAGGCTTGCCCACTGTTGAGGGAAGGCCAACATGGCTTCTTTCCAACTTCTCTGACCCCTTTCTCCTCCTGCTCCTCTCCGTGGATCCTCAGACAAGCCTCAGCCCCCACAGGGCCCCTTGGAGGTGCAGGATGGCCACAGGGCTGGTGTCTGCCTCCGCTGGCGGCCCCCGAAGGATGATGGGGGCCGGGCCGTAGAGCACTACGTGGTGGAGAGGCGACAGGCTGGCAGGAGCACTTGGCTGAAGGTGGGCGAACCCCCCACTGACAGCACTACCTTCACCGATGCCGGCGTGGAGCAGGGCAGAAAGTACACTTTTCGTGTGCGAGCTGTGACCTCGGAGGGGGCTGGGGAGGCCCTGGAGTCTGAGGARGTGTTGGTGGCTCCTGACGGTGAGAGAAAGGGCTGGGGCTGGYGGTTGGAACACTCTTAAATCCACATTGGGCCAGAGGGCAAGCAGGTCTGCCCCTGCAGCTAAAGAGCACTGGCTTCTGCCTGGGTCCTTGAAGTCCTTCTAAAGCCCAATGGAGACTCCTTGCCTCAGCTTGATTTGGGATCTGGCAACCAGGACAGGAAATAAGATAGATGGTGTCTGTGGGAGTGAAGGGACCGGCACACAGCCTGCTCTCTCAGGGCCCGAGCAGAGGCCAGCATCTTCCTCTATCACATCCTCCTAGTTTGGGATTTCCTAACAGGGGACTTAAGGCTGAAAGATTTTGAACCTATCATGCCTGAATCTGAACAGTGTCCCAGAGCAGTCTAGCCAATCCCTACAGTCCCAGGAAAGAGTAGGGTGCCAGATGTCCCGTGCCTTCTACCTCAGAATCTCCTCATGAGCCTTAGCCTCTGGCTGACCTTCACCTTCTTTGCTCCCAGCAATCCCAGGGCCCCCTTCCACCCCGGCCATTCTATCAGCCTCCAGCCAGGGCATCACTCTCACATGGACGGCACCTCGGGGCCCTGGCAGTGCCCACATCCTGGGTTACCTGGTTGAGAAGCGCAAGAAGGGAAGCAACACCTGGATAGCAGTGAACGATCAGCCCATGTCAGGTGAGCAGGCCTGAGGGATGCTTCTCATTTCCCTGGCTCCAAGTTGCTTAGACCTCCTCTTGGCATAGGAGCGTTGCCAGTCCAAATTGGTTTAATAGAATAGGTCTCATCTGGGATGATTTTGTCTCGAGGGGACATTGGCAATATGTGGAGCCATTTTTGATTGTCACAACTGGGTGCGGAGTAGATGATACCAGTACATGATATGAAGGAGCCAGGGTTATGCTGACTATCCTACAATACACAAGAGCTCCCCTACTCCCAACAAAACCAAAAAATTATCTGGCAAGAAACATCAACAGTGCTGAGGTTGAGGAACCCTGGTTTACAGAAGTCCTAGGTTGGAGCCAGAGATGAAGGTGTGAGTCCTGGGCCCTCTACTTCTGACCTTGTCTTTGGGTAGCCCTCTTCTTCTCTAGATCTATTTCCTCATCCACAAGTAGAGAGAATAGAACAATCCTCATGGTTCTGCCTCATTAAGTAGATTTCTAAGAACCAGCTGCTTTCTGAGATCAGAAAGAACTTGAAAAAGCCAAAGCGTTGGGTAGATGCTAAGGTATCCCATGACCCTTTGCATTTCTGTGTTTTGCATGCTGTGGAAGCCAGGTTTGTGGAGGAAAGAAGGGACCAGAGCAGACAGTCAGGAGACTGGCTTCTAGTTGTGGCTGAACTACTTAGGAGCAGAACCCTCTCAGGGCCTTGTAACTCCACCTCCAGAAAGATGGAGATGAAGGAAGGGCACCACCCTCCCAACTCCCCTACTGATTCAACTTCATTTAAATCAACAGCTCTGTAAGGTAGCATAATCTGGAGAGATTAAGGCACTTCAGCAAATTGGTGGCAGAACCAGATAGGGATTTGGGACCCCAGCATCTTTTCACCTTGGAGAGAACTGAGTCACACGTGGATGGCCAGAGAAGGGAAGTATTAGGGCCCAGCCTTGTTCTTCTTTGAACTCGGAAGCACCAAGATGTCTGTTCATCTCCTGGTCCCCCAGTGTGGGATTAATGTAGGATGTCTCTTCACAGAGAGGAAGTGCACTGTGGAAGATGTGCGGCAGGGCTGTCAGTATGAGTTCCGGGTCACAGCAGTGGCCCCCTCAGGCCTTGGAGAGCCTGGACCCCCATCTGATGCTGTCYTTGCCCGAGACCCCATGAGTGAGTAGGACATCAACCCAAGGGGTGGTGGTGGGATGGGTGGTGAGTATGGGATGGTTCTGAAGCCCAGTGGGACAGGACAGGAGGTCACAGGTAGGAGAAAGTGGCCAGGAGGGCTGGAAGATACCGGTTAAAAGGCCACTGGGGTCAGGCATATCTTAGGGGCCCTAAATTGAAATCAGTCAGAATTAGAAGACTCCTTCCTGACCATGTCACYTGCTCTCAGTCCCCAAGTTTGGCCAGGCAGCAGTCTGTTTGAATGAATACACTGGGAATAGAATATTTTATAAATTTAATTGTTCAAAGGGGCATCTAAATTTCAGTCCTAGGAAGGGCAAAGTGTGGAATGGAGGGATGAGGGAGGAGAACTGGCTGTGCACCTTTTCTTGGCAAGGAAAATCTCTCTTGACTCCTCTATAATCAGTGATGAAAATGGAGATAGCAAATAGGATAGGCAGTGTTGGGGTAGTAGTCACAAGGGTGACTACATTTCCCTAGATTTTTTTGAGGGGGGTTGCTGGGATTGTACCCAGGGCCTCACACATGCTGGACCAGTGCTCTACCACTGAGCTACACCCCCCACCCTATGTTTCTAAGATTCTTGCTACTGAGCAAACTCTGGGCAGCATCACCAGGGAACTTATTAGGGTTCGCTCAGGCCTCACCTCCGACCTACTGAATCAGATCTGTGTTTTTAACCACATTCCCTGGTGATTTGTATACAGAAAGCACTTCCCTAGACCAACACTTTCCAAACTTCACTGGGAATTTATTTAGAGACACCCAGGAGCTCTTCCTGCCCTGTTGCTCAGGATGCACCCAAATCAGAATCTCTGGGGCTGCCCATATTTTTAAGCTCCCAGGTGGGTCCAACATTCAGCACTTTCCAAAGCCCTTCTACATGTACCCTGCCTTTCCTGTGTTCCAGACAGCCCCCTCCTGGTGTAGGGAGCGCTGTTATTGTTTCTGTTTAACAGATGTGTCTGCTCTGCGTGCCCAGAGGCAGTTCTAACTCAGCACTTACAGTTCAGAAAAAAGACACAGTTCTAGTCTTCAGGGATAAAGGATCCTAAGAGGTCATCCACTAAAGTCCCCCATTTTCAAGAATTAGAGAGGGTGGTTAGGTACTGGACAGAGGCAGAGTTTGGTTCAGGTAGGTGCTTCAGGGGCCACGAAGTGAAAGGACCCCAAGAGAAAGAAACTGTCTCCCATGGGAAGGCTAATCAATGTCCACCTGAGTGACCTCCACCAAGAGAGGCTGATGCCATTTCTGATATTTCCACGGTGCTTGACCAGGACCCCCTGGGCCTGTGMGGGATCTTCAAGTCACGGACACATCACACACCAGCATCACCCTGAGCTGGGTGGGGCCAGATGCCCAGGATGGGGACAAAGCTCAGGGATATGTGGTGGAGCTGTGTGGCTCAGACAGTCTCCAGTGGAGCCCATGCCACATGGACACTGTGCCAGGGACCTCCTTCACAGTCAAGGGGCTTCGGCCTCGAGAGGGCTACTTTGTGCGGGTGACAGCAGTTAATGACGGGGGCCACGGCCAGCCCACTGCCCTGGACACCGTAGTGCACACCGTGCCTGTTACTGGTGAGTGCCACCTCTTTCCCACACTGAGCCCTGCAGGCTCTTCCTGAGAGGGGCTGCCAAGCAGCCACCATGCACGTGCTGAGCCAGGATCCCCTTCCCCAGCCTAACAAAGTAACATGTGTTGACACTTCCCATGTGCAAGGTGCTGGGCTGGGCAGGCCTAGTTGGAAATGGTTTCTCATTGCAACTCATTACAAAGTTGATATTATTTTTATGCCCAACATACAGAGAAGGAAACTGAGATCCCAGGTTCTTTTCCCAATGTCTCACCCTTGGTATGAGGCAGAGCCAGGATTTGAAACAGGTGACTCCAAGGCACAAGGGCCGCTTAGCTCAGGCAGTTCCTGGTCAGGATGGAGCATGCCCCAGACCCCGTTACCAAAAGGTGGACTGTCTTTCCCTTTGGGTCTTAGTTACTAGAGCCAGCTGACCTGTCTTTGACCCAAGTTGACACTGGGCCAGCCCAGCTGACCCTAGTCATCACGTGAAAATAAGGAGAAAAGCACACAGCACCTGGAGTCCAAAATCTCAGAATCTTGTCCTGGCTCTGTTCCTAACTCGGTGTGACCCCAGGCAAGTCACCTCCTGTCTCAGATTGGTGGTTATGTCACCTGCAGAACCAAAGAGATGGACTGTTTGTCACTTCCTTCTTCCAGGCTAACCCTAACCCTCTGCCTTCCCTACCCAACTCCTGTCCCTCTCCTCCAGCATGTCCCCACCACTCCTGGGGCTCCCCTCCCCACTTTCTTCTGCCCAGTGCCTCTCCTTTGAGGTTCTTCAGCCAGATGGGATTTTAGCAGCAATTAGACTGGCCTGGCCTCCCTTTCTGCTTTGCTGCGTTGGTGACCGGGGGCTGGGGTCCAACCGTGGAGGGAGGTGACGAGCCATTTTGTGTGTTCCAGGCTGTCCCAAGTTCCTCATGGACTCCAGTGCAAAGGACTCACTGATGGCCAGAGTTGGGGACACCATTCGTGTGCCTGTCTCCTTTGAAGTGAGTGGGTCTAGAAGGTGTGGGGAAGGGAACCCAGAGTGGCCCAGGGAGCCAGAGAGCTCTGTGGTTCTCTTGCCTTTGTTGTTGTTGTTGTTGTTTTTGGGGGTGGGGGTCTGTAGTCAGTGAAGTCAGGCCACAGGTGAGGAAGGAGGGAGGAGGGTCCTCTTTAGTGGCATAGCACATCCCTGGTGGCTGGGTGGCCTTTCTGCTCCCTGTACAGTATACACAACCCTCTAATGGTACCTTCTGGTACTTCACCTCCAAATTAGGGCTCTCACTTTTCCTCACCACTGTGAATTCAGAGGGTCTCAGGATGATCCTCCACCGATGCTAACACCTCCCGGCTCTAGGGACACCATAGCACTAGCATAGTGATTAAAAGCACAGATTGCCTGGGTTCAAATTCCAATGTCATCACTGACTTTGGACAAATACCCTAACCTCTCTGTTTCAACTTCCTCCTCTTTCAATGGGGATAAATAGAACCTAGCTGAAAGGGTTGTTTTCAGAAGGACTCAATCCCCTGAAAGCACATGAACAGCCTGGTGTATGGCCAGCATTCAATAAGTGTTACTTTTATTATTATCATATTTATTGTTATCAAAATCATTATCACCTGTGTGGGAGGCTCAGCAATGGCAGAGCCATAATGCATCTCTGCCTTAATCTAAATGACATGTTTTTAGCTATTAAACACTGGAGGACAATGGCAGCAATGACATGTTAAACATGTACTGAGCGTTCTCTACGTTCTCAGCCCTGAACGTTCCAAGTATTGGTAACTCCTTGAGTCCTTGGATTGTTAGTCCAGGTGCTAACAATCAGTTTCTGTTAGCTTCCCCAGTGTGCCTGCCACTGAGGTTCCCACAGGCGGTTGGCAGTATGGTCATCAAGCAGCTGGACCGGTCTCCCCAGTCAGTCAGGGTCACCACAGTTCTAGACCAGACCACTATAATTGCCCTCCTGCATTCTCTCCCTATCGCAGGGATTCCCAAGTCACCCCCTGCCTGGTCTTTCTCACTCCCATCCAGCACCAGGTGAATCCAGATTCAGTGATGTTTTCTTGCTCAACGTCTTAGAGCAGCAGCTCAGTGCTTAGAGAATAAGACCCGGATGTCTGCATGGGTGGGGTGTGGGGGTATTGCCTAGCCTACCTGGCTAGCTTCCTTTCCTATTCCACCACCCCCACCTGCCAGCCCCACACTTCATCACCGCCTCTCTACTGGCCTGCTTCTGAACAGGCACTTGCCCACCTCTGAGTTTGCACARACATTTTCCCTCCCAGAATGTTCTTCTCACCACTTCTACCCTAGGCCCAGCTTGAATGGCTCCACTTCCACACCACCACCAAAGCTCCCACTTCTCAACCCTTCCTTCCTCTCATTTTCCTCCAGGCTGGCCCCATGCCTGAGGTGACCTGGCTGAAGGACGGCTTGACTTTGTCCAAGAGAAGTGTGACCACCACCAAGGATGGCCTTACCCAGCTTCTGATTCCTACAGCTGGCCTCTCAGACAGTGGTCGCTATACCGTGGTGCTGAGGAACCTTCAGGGGAAGGAGGCTGCCTACGACTTCCTCATCAGGGTGGCAGGTGAGGTGGCACGGCTCTGGGCTCCAAGCACTGGCTGGGCCACTCACTGAAGCATGGAGTCTTCACCTGCCTGGGCACAGGTCTCAGCCATTCTACTGGCCTGTGTGTGCAAGGTGGCACACTGTCTACTTTTCCTCTGTGCTTGAAGACAGGAAGAAGGGCAGGGGGAGGGTCCCTTATGGGCTTTAATTATTCTTCTGACTCAGGACCTTAGGGACAATTCAGCCACATCCCCTCCCTAGACCCCAGTTAGTCTTGGTTTGGAGCCCATGGGCAATGGTGGTCACCACCATTACAGCACTGGAAAGACCCCATGGAAAGAAGTGTCTGGGTCCCTTGTACAGGATAAAGGTTGCCCTCCCCTGAAGTAACTCCCGGGCAGTCCCTTATCCTGGAGAAGTCCCTGGATATTCAGACAAGATGAAACAGATGAATGGAGGGAGGCTGTACCTTGATTTTGTGAAAACCTCTGTCCATGTCCTATGTGATTTTCCCTAAAAACTCAAGTGAATTAAAACGTATTCTTTTGGGAAAGGTTTTCTACCCTCTACAGATAACTGTGCACCCCTGACCAAGTGCCCTCCAGTTACCTGCCTTCCAAGATTGCAACTCCCAGAAGACTCAGGGGCTCTGGAGGGGACCATACCAGAAGCCCTGCTGGGTCCCCTGCAGTGCATGCTCCCTCTACCCTGTCTCCTGCAGCATGCCCACAGGCTCCTGGGCCCATCCGCCTGCAGGAGAATGTGCCCAGGACAGTGACAGTCCAGTGGGAGCCCTCTCCAGACGAGGTCCAGGGTCCCCCTCTGCACTACACGGTGCTGATGCGCTCCTCGTCACACGGCTCCTGGCGCGAGGTGGCTGACCACATCCACACCAACCACTTCACCTTCCTGGGTGTCCTTCCTGGCATTGAGTACCACTTCCGAGTAGTGGCCAAGAATGAGCTGGGGACCAGCAGACCCTCAGACACCAGTGAACCCTGGTGCCTCCCCAGGCAKCGAGGTGAGGGTCCCCTGGAGGGGGAGAACTTAGCTGACTATGCTCTGTGCTTAGGCCACCTATTCTAGGGTGGTGGGATGTGCAGGGTGGGGCAGAGTGGCAGCTATGGCAGAGATGGCGGGGAGCCTGTCCAATGAACCGGACCCTGGGTCCAGCCAGAACCAGAGCCATGGCTTGGTCTTCCCAGCTCCTGCCTGACCCCTCCTCTACTGATGTTCCTTGTGTTCTGACTCGGGGTAGGTCCTCTCTGCAGGGAGAACTAGTTGGCCTGTGGGTGTTTGGGTGGATTGTATATTGGGGGGACCACAACAGAAGCCCTGCTGGGTCTTTAGGGAGCCCACCAAGGCTGTCCCCTCTAGAGTGTCTTGGCTAGGGATCAGGAAAAGACTTCTCTACCTGGCTCTGTGTGAACTGTCGTTTAACTTGCCAACACGGGCCCTCCTTGGACTTGACTTGCCCATTTGGATGAGATGAACAACTCTTGACTTCAGTGGCTACATGCTGCCCACTTGAGCATCCCAGAATGGCCTTCCGCATGCTTCTAGATGAGAGAGGGCTATAAATTTAGCCATAAATTTAGAAGTTAACATGTTTCTGAAAACAAAGTGTATGTTACAATCAAATAGATGTGCACCTTAAAAGAGGTCACTAGAAAAAGCAGATTATAAAATCAGATGGGTGATTTAATTTCTATAAAATGCAAAAATATCTAGAAGTTTCTATCAAAATATTAGCTGCAGTCATTTATATATATGTGGGTAGAGAGATCATGATCGGTTCTTACTCTTATCCTTTGGATTCTGGGTTCTAATCTGTGCGCAGTGAATGTGTGTTAGGCCATGGGCGTCGGCACCGTGAACTTTCTATAGACTTGGCCCAGACAGGTCTTCTCGCTTTCTGACCCTCCTCCCTGTCGCCCTGGTTTCCATGCAGGCAGATTCACAGTGAGGGCTCCCAGCTACCGGGAACCAGACCTGAGCCAGAAGCCCCGGTTCCTGGTGGGCCTGCGGACCCACCTGCTGCCTCCAGGATGCGAGTGTCGCATGACCTGTGCGGTGCAGGGCTCACCCCGGCCTCATGTCACCTGGTTCAAGAATGATCAGAGCCTGGAAGGACACCCCACAGCATACAGCACTGATATGCTGGGCGTGTGCTCCCTCGTCATCCCCAGTGTCTCCCCTAAGGACAGTGGCAAGTACAAGGCTGTGGCTGAGAACCCGCTGGGCCAGGCTGTCAGCACTGCCACCCTCATCGTCACAGGTAAGGGTGGCTGTCCTGGCAATGGGCCACACTGGCAAGGGAGCAGGAAGAGAGCCAGAGGAACAGCCACCTGCCTGCCTTCAGGGAGCTGTCCCCTCTAGAGTGTCTTGGCTGGAGGTCAGGAGACAGACTTCTCTCCCTGGCTCTGTGTGAACTGTCATTTAACTTGCCACCATGGGCCCTCCGTGGCCTAAACTTGCCCAGCTGGGCGAGATGAGCAACTCTTAACTTCAGTGGCTACATGCTGCCCACCTGAGCATCACAGGGTGGCCTTCCGCATGCTTCTAGATGAGAGATGAGAAGCTTCTTCTCTGTGACCACTCATAAATATGTCCAAATAGGGACATTTAGTACCTACAGGGCCATATTGACTCTCTCACTGTAATCTCCAGTAAAGCAAATAGTATTTATTGATAAGAAAACATTTCCCCCCAGTGGTACTGAAAATATATTGTATTTTGAATAGAAAAAAAAGCAATAAATCCTAAACATTTTGACCTTTGTGCAAAAATGACCCTTCAGCCCCGGGTCAGAGCATCTCTCATGGCATCTGTTCAGAGCCACTTAGGTGCTACCCTCAAATGCCCCAGCTTGTAGATATAGATAGTTCCAGAAAGAATTAGGTATTTGGTGGTGGTTAGAGTTGCCCAGAGGGCTAGAGAAAGACTTTACCCAAGCTCTGAGAGCATGTGGTGGCCGTGGATTTGAACCTGGGCCCACTGTGGCAGAGCCCGCAGAGCTAAGCTGTATTGCCTTCACCATGGATAGGTGTGGGAGGGGCAGCTGCCCCTTGTAGACCAGCTGGAATATCCTGTGTCTTGCAGAAACCAGCTCCTAGCCTCGCCCTACTCTGGGATGGCCCTGCCCGGCCCCCCAGCCACRGGATGGATGACAGAACTCTGAAGCTTCACTTCTGACACCCACGCCAGCCTGGRGAGCTGATCCTGAAGGATGGAGTCCATGCCTTGAGACTCAGGAGTGAGAGGGCTTCTGGGGATACTTGCCCAGCAAGACAGAGAGTCCTTGGGGAAGAAAAAGAAGGGTACAAGTGGTGGTCCCAGAATAGTCACTGAAAAGGATGACAGCAAACCTCCCAGGCCTGCCCACATGGATTTCTTTCTTCTCCACTTCAGGAGACCTGGAAAGAGCCCGCGTGCAGGGTGCTCCTTGTTTGCCTAGTCTGGGCCCCTTGGAGGGAGGGTGGGAGAAGCTGAGCCTCTGTGACAACAGGGAGGAAAGAGGAAGAAAAGTCAGAGGTCCTGGGTGAGAATAAGGGCATCAAGGGTGTGTGTTGGGGCATGGGGGATTGTGGGGGGGACACCTTCTGGACTTTCCTTCATTAAAACATCTAAGAAATTTTTGCAAATCAACTTGGGTTTTGTGTGTTCTAGGAAAGATTCCAAAGCAAAGGTTTATGTATACCAGGCTCCTGCTGGGAGACGGGGTGGGCTCTGGTTCAAGGGAAGAACAAGGACAGAGTTAGGCTCTCCTGCAGTACAGGCCTACGCAGTTAATAGCAAGGGCAGAAAAGCCCAGAAAGGTTAGAGGCTCTGTGTAGCAGAGGCCTCCTTTCCTCCCGGCCCATGCCTCCCGCATGCTTCCACCCTTAAGCATCCTCCAAGCAGCAGGGCTAGAGCCCTGTCTTGGGGGGTATACGTAAGGGGACCACAGAACTGGTTGCCTAGGACTGACAAATTCCTGTCCCTCCCCAGAGACAGAAACAGTTTGGGCTGGAGAGAATCCTAGAGAGCAGGAACACAATCTGCTCTTCACTCCCTCTTTTTGGATCCTGGTCTCTGCTTTCCACAGTCTCCCTTTCACCCCCTCCCCCAGTTCTGTGGCAGATTCAGGAAGAAAGGAACAAAAATCACAGGACAGGGGGTGGGGACAGCACCAGACCTTCCTTTTTTGCTTTGAAAACCTTACAAGGTTTGTTGAAAATCCCATTGGCCATATATGTACTTATGGGTGTATTTTTAAACATTTTATTCCTTATTCCTCTTCTATTTTCTGGAAAAGGTTGTATACAATTGATGTTCTATCTTCCTTAAATATTTGGTAGAAATTACCAAATAAAACCAGAGGGCTTGGAGTTTTCTTTGTGGAAGGGATTTGGCCACCAAGTGTAAGTCATTTTTTTCAATAGCTATATAAGGCTGTCCAAGTTTTCAGCGTCTTTTTGAATGACATTTGATAACCTATGACTTTCAAAGAATTTGTCCATTTCACCTAAACTGTTGAATTTATTGGCATAAAGTTGTTATAACATTCCCTTATAATCAATCCATTTACTGTTCTATAGGCTCTCCAAGATATTGCCTCTTTCATCCTTCAGATTGGTAAAACTTGTGTCTTCTCTCTTTTATGCTTAATCAATTGATTATCAATTTTATCAATCTTTTACAAGGACCACCTTTTGATTTCATTCATTTTCTCTATTGTTTCTCTGTTTTCAATTTCATTGGTTTCTACTCTTGGTTTTACCATTTTCTTTCTTCTGCTAACTTTGGAGTTTAATTTGCTCTTTCCCCTTCCTAGTTTGCTAAGGTCAAATCTTAGATCTTTAAATTATAGATTTTTCCTTCCCTTCTAATACAAGGATTTTTCCTTTAAGTGCTGTTTTAACTTCATCCCATATTTTTGCACGTTGGGCCTTAATTTCCATTCGGTTCGAGACATTTTCCAATTAGTCTTATTATTTCTTATTTTACCCATAAATTATGTAAGGGTATATTGCTAAATTTCAAAGTAGGTGGGATTTCCTAGTATTTATTATTGATTTCTAGCTTGAATTCTGTTGTGGTTAGAGAAAATATTTTTATGATTTTAATCCTTTAAAAGAGAAAATATGTTTCATGGCCCCAAACATGGTCCTCCTTATTCAGTGTTCTCTGTGCACTTGAAAATAATGTGTATGCTGCTGTTGGGGGYGGGGTTCTGACCAATTAGGTCAAGTTGGTTAATAGTGTTATTCAGTTTTCTAGGTCCTTACTGATTTTCTTTCTAATTGTTGTCTCAAGTGTTTCAAAATGTCCTTTACTAAAATTTGCATTTTCTCCCATAATGGTGGTATATCATTATTTGTCAGAGTAATAAGAAATAGCTAAGGAATAACTTCAGTATCTCCAGAGAGGGCAAGAAGGAAAAGGAGGAGGAGGAGGAGGAGGAGGAGGAGCAGAAATACCAAGAACTAGTATGAATAAATAGAAATACATCAGTAATCACAATGAGTGTAAGTCAAATTCTCTGGGTAAAAGAAAGTAAAAAAATAAATTCCATGGTATTGTACCATTCTCTTCTTAGTAACTAATTTATCAAGTAGGCAAAAAAGTACTAAGGATATAAAAAGTTGTGAATTACAAAATTAATGAACTTGAGCTAATGGATACACATAGACCACTTTGCCAATAATTGGAGGCTTTTGAAGCACACATGAAACATTTATGAAAATTGCCAGATACTACTTCATAAAGGTAGCCTGAACTTTTTCAAATGATTTGTGTCATGTAGATCACACTGTCTGGCCAYAATGCAACTGGGTTGGGAATCAATAATGAAAGCTATATTGAAAAAAGTACATATGTCTGGAAACTTTGAAACACAGCTTTAAGCAATCAGTCAAGGAAGGAACCCCAATGGAAAAGAAGAAAATATTTAGAGCTGAATGATAATTTTAAAAACTATGAAAAAAATTTAGAATCCAGCAAAAACCAAATGTAGATTTATAGTTTTATATGCTTATTCTGAAAAAGAAAAGCAAAAGTGTGGTATTGATGAGCTAAGGTCTGTGTTGGAGACAGTTTTCCAGTCTCCCACACTCAGGTATGATCATGTGACTCAGTTCTGGCTAAAAGAATGAGACGTAATATGAATAATTTCCGGGTCAGACACTAACACTTCCTGTGCAAACATCCACCATCTCTCTCTCCTCCCTCCTTCATTGATCATCTAGAAAGAATCCTTTGTAATTCAGAGTATGGTGGAAATAATTGCTAAAAGAAACTCGAAAGTTCCTCTATGCTAACATACTCTGAACAAATGATATGAGAAATAAACCTTAATTGTATTACCCTCCTGAGATTTGGAGGTGGTTAAGCAGTTAAACTATTCTGAATAATATAGCAAATGACTTTTTTTTTCAACACATTGCCTTTATTTCTATGTGGTGCTGAGGATCAGATCTGGGTCCCACCCCATGCTAGGGGAGCTCTCTACTGCTAAGCCACAATCCCAGCTCAGCAAATGACTTTTTAAAACTGAAAAACAAGAGGCAGCTACTGGTCTTGACTCCCTTTCTTCCAGTCACACTGGACTCCTTGTTGTGCCCTGCCTGTAGTAGTCTTCCTCTGGACACCTGCATGGCTCACTCCCACACCTCCTCAGATCAGAGCTCAAACAGTACATCAGGCCTTTTCTGGCCACCTGATCTAAAATGGCAGCTCCTTCCTTGCTGCAAAATCTCTGTCCATTTTCTTTGGCTTATCTTTCTCCATAGCATTGATCACTATCTGACATATTTATTTTGCGCTTCACCCTGTATTTGTTTTATCCAATAGAAATCCAAATTCCGCAAGGACATTTTTTTGTGTGTGTGTCTTTTTTGTTGATTGTTCTATTCCCAGGGCAAACATAGGATGAAAAAGTAAAGTGAAATATATTGATGCTTTGAAAAAGAACAAACAACAGATTCTCAAATCTCAAAAATTTAGTAAGTAACGAATGGAGTAGTAATTAAACTACAGGCATTAGAATCAGGCTGGTGTCTCAACTCAATACATTCAGCAGCTGTGTGAAGTTAGGCAAGGCCCTTTACCTTCAGAGACTTGACTTTCTTGTTAGTAAAATTGGCACAAAACAGTGCTCTTTTTCAAAGTTGGGGGAATTAAAAGTGCATAACAGTGACTCCCTAGGTGCTGGTAGGAAAATGTTACGTGGGTTTTAACCATTAATGATTAGTAAGGCAGTGATGATAAGGGACATTTCTTATATAGAAAAGTGACCCCCTGCTTTGTTGAGTTCGGAGTCATGGCTGGGAGGTCCTGGAGCAGGAGCTGGCTGAGCTTCTGATGATGCAGGCCTAGCTGGGGCTGAAGCTTGGAGAATTCACAGGGTTGGCCAAGAAGGCGCTGATCAGAGCTGTCTGGGAGAGACTGACCCAGGTGCTCTGGGCCAGGATGGAGCTGCAGGGCCAACTGGCCATGCTGCAAGAAAGCCTCACTTGCCTGGAGCAGGGGCCCCTGAGGCTGCTCATCCAAGGGCACACAGAACCCAAGCCTCAGGCTCCCTGACCACCAGCCACCAGGAGACCCAGGGGATGCTCCAGCCCCTGGAGAAAGGAGTATGTGAGGCCAGGAGAGTGCCTGGAACAAAGGCTGGGCTTGGCACTCAGTGTACTACAGCGGTGGAGAAGACACAGGCTGGCCAGGCCAGGTCTCAGGCTCCACGGTGACTGCTGGACAGGAACCAGTAGGAATCTGGGAAAGGTGAACAGTGTGGCAGAGCTGATGAGAGGTGGCCCCAGGGTGCAGCAGCTGGAGAACATCTGGTGAGAGCAGGAGCGGGTCAAACAGACTGCACTGAGGTCGGATCAACCCTGCTGGGGGATCTTGGGCTCCTCACTTAACCATACTTGGACTTGGACCTTCCTTAAGTGGGGTGACATTCCTGTCCCGCCTGCTTCACTGGGTATGCAGATGAACACCCTCRGAGCAATAGTGAGGCCTGGTAATGTTATGACAGCCTCCCCTCTGGGTCTCCTGCATGTTCCTACAGATGGCCGCCCATGGCAGTGGACCCTGGGAGGAGCCGGGAAGCATCGATGGAGACATCATGGTCTGGCTTGCTTTTACCCTTGTGGGTGTTTCCCAAGTGCTATCCTCATTAATCCATCAGTTCCCTCACCTGTAGTTATGGAGCACTTACTATGTGCCAGATACCATCTGGGTGCTAAGAACACAGCATGATTTGTGTCCTAGGGGCTCCTGCCATGGCCAGGCAGGTCCATTACAGCTGGGTCAGTGCTGG